GGCATGACTATCCTGATTCTGTGAAAATAAAATTTAACATTGACATTTTCAGTCTTCTGGAAACTTATTCATTTATGTGAAGCTGAAATAAAGGTTGGTATACAATCATTGCTGCCTGCCACTTATAACAATTCCATTTGGACCAATAAAATTCTTACATTTTAATCTTTTTAAAAATCTGGGTTTTTTACAATCTGTTTAAAAAAAAAAAACCTTTAAATTACGACATTAATTTATGAAACAAAGAGCTCAAATCCCCTGTATCAAAATGGTGCCCTCAATTTGAACAGGGGTATTATGGTAATTTTGACTAGCTGTGAATCAATGGCGGGAGAGGGGGACGACTCGAGCCCTAAAAGAGGGTTTTTGTATTCTGAGAAAGAAAGATACAATTATACACTTGCGTCTGAAACTACATGTACTAGTTCTGACACAGCCATTAATCCCAGTTCCTATGGCACAACTACAGGGGGGCCTTGACCATCATAAACCAGACTATTTTAGGGGTTAATTCTGGTCCCCCCCCAAGAAAAATTCTGGGTGCACCACGTTGGCACACATGAAGTTTTTATGTAGCCCCCCTCCATTCATTCTTACATTTTTGGGAATCACACAGTATCAGTGTACACTACAAGTCAAGTACCAGAATGTTATATAGCTTATAATCCATCGTCAACTTAAAAAGGCCGTCACAACATATGACTAAGTAACGCCAGTCAAGGGAGCAAAATTGCATGGTCCCAATGTTAAAGAACTACAGAACTGTTCACTGCTTAGGTAAGTCACTGCCAAATTTGTGAAGTTTACTTGATACACCTGCCAGTTTGCGAGCCTGCACTTGTACATCACTAAAGATTGAACAAGAGGATTTTTTGCCGATTTCTGTATGATCAGGATGGGATTCATGATGACGTGCTCTACTGGTTTCAGCAGTATTTTAACAGCCATTTTGGACTTTTGCTTGTTTCTTCAAGTGCCGGTGCTAGCCTCTTTTGGGACATTACAATAAATTTAGGACAGATTATCAAAATTAAATGCACTTGTCGAAATCATATCTCCCAGTTGGCTTCAGGTTGAAGAATTTGCTTGTCCTCTTGAACAGCCCCATCGTACGACTCATCATAGGTGTTTACTGATTAACTCTGATTAGTCATTTATTCTTGATGCATTCATCTTGTTTGTTGCTTACTGTTTGCCTGTTATTTGGCTGTTCTTGTTTTTCATTTTAGTTTCATTCCAAACTTCCTATATCACTGCTTTGGTTCATTTTGAGTGTTTTCTATTTGTGTACATACATGCTAATGGTTATAGTATAGCTAATTTAGTTTAATTTATGGCAAACCTATCTGTAAGGAAAGCTCCTAGACAGAAACTGTTTCTTTTGGGTGATCTTTCGGGAGCTGTTTGGACTTTTATTTTTATGTTGTCTTCTTGGACATTAATGCTCGGTTTTTTAGTTTTATTCCTGAGAAATCAACTAATGTTCCATAATTGATCATTATTTATGTCATGGTTTCAGTGGTAAAAATAAATCTGATGTCACTCAGCATACATAACCTACTTAGACCTCTGTTGTTTATTCTTACCGTGTGTATTGTACCCAATTAAAATGGCAAATACCTACAAAGTTCAGTCCCAAATCAGCACGAGTAGTCAGAATCACACATAAATTACAAGGCAAAGTACAGAGGCCTAACTCAGGAAGAGTTCCATACATGGGATGCCAGTAATTCTTCCCTACGGTCATTTAATAGCTATCAGAAAGCAAAAGCATGTCCAGAAAAGTTCACTTTAGGATGGAAAATACCAAGTCATTTACTGAGAATACACAATTTCTAGACCAGTCTCATAGGGTTTGGGCACAGAGTGTCAAGTGGCGTACTTTCCACCTACTCTTCTAATCAGATTGAAGTCAGATTTGAAATGGCATCTCTATAATCCAAGGAGGAGGGGAATTTGTAATGTGCATAATGTAAGAAAACTGGACGTGTTTGGCATATTCTCCAACAACAAAAAAGACAGACAGAAATCTCATCTGTCATGTAGTGTAAGTACATGGACAAGATACATTTTTTCTGTCCTTATTATAAAGAAATTGGCACAAATTCTTCTTGTTAGAGTTTCATGTCATTGCAAACGGACATCGTAAGTCACTCTATTGAGTAGAATTTGCAAAATTCCACAGCCACCCACCTCAACATATTACAGGTCCATAGCGTTAACCCTAACAGTCCCAAATCCTCCAATTTCAGTACAATTTTACATACACCCCTTGGGGGTTAGGGTTAAGTGATGAGACCAAGCAATTTGTTCCCCTTGGCTGGCTTTGATCATGCAGTCACATGGTGGCACTCATTTCAAGATGGCTGAATGGGAGAAATAGCTACTCTGTACAATAGTATTACTGTTATGCCCCCTAATTGGGGTAAAATAGATGTATTCTCCTTTGGGGGCAGACCAAGTACATGCTTTGGCTTTTTGTCTGACCTCCCCCATACTGGGCTTTAGTTTCATTAACTTCTGTATTATTTAACTTATATATAGTATGAAAATAAACTTGGAATCTGAATTGGGAAAAAATCTATTTAACACATATATAGTGCTTCAGATTTTATAGTAGGGGCATTCCTTCTAGATATGTAGGTGTCAGTTTCGAGGGCAAAAAACATTTAAAAATTGAGAATTACCCTATAAGCACCAACTTCAAATTCTATGTTGTTATTAGAATTTACAGAAGTCATCAAACCTATGTTGAGCAGTGGCGTAGCTGGGGCCCCCCACGAAAAAAAACCGGATGGATATTGAACAAGGCCAAAGAAAACTTGCCCCCCAAAAACCACACCACTGATAGCTGGCGCCCCCCCCCCGATGCTGGCGCCCCCTTGTGCCCCGCCCCCCCCCCTAGACTGACTGGTAAAATCCTAGCTACGCCACTGTCGTTGAGGACAGAATGCTGCATCCTGCCTCCATTTATTCATCGTATATTTAATTATCCCAGTAAATTAAGGTCGATCATTGCAAAAATGCTGAAAAGATATGAATCCGGGACGAGAAAAAAAGTTCAATTTTACAAAACACTAAGAAAAGTTTCTCGACTCCCATAGACTTTATCTACCCACAACCACTGAAGTGAAATCAGGGTGCAACATTCTTTTCTTGGTCGAAAATCTTCACTCTTTACCTGTTTCAGTATACTTACCTCCAGTGAATGATTCTTTGTCGCAAGTCGGGAGCTTACAGCACATGAAAAAGCTCGTTTTTAGCAGGTAAGACTATAAATTCTTGCGTCCAAACAGAAGGTCGCACACTACAAGAATAACCACGAAGGCGTCGCGTGTTTTTATAAAATGGCGCGCGGTTGTCACGTGCTATGGAGCTTGGCGACTTATTCAAATCTGCTCAAAACGCTTGAAAATCCGGGCAGAGGAAAACAGGGGGTGACACGGTGCTAAAAATCAGTGAAAACCAGGACATGGGGTACCACCACATTTTGGGATTGTGATTTCACATCTCTTTTCAAGTATGACTTTTTCACTTACCATATGATTATTTTACTTGAAACATTTATCGATTTGCCCAACATTTTGCTGCCATTTTTTTCACTTCATTTCTTTTTGGTTCTGTTTCTCAAGTCCCATGCAAACTACGATTGTTCTCCCTTTTCCTGTGCTTTTATTAGCCTCGTGCATATGCAAATTAGACAGCGCTAGGTTCCACTTTCTTACAGAAACGTCTGGTGACGTTATGCATAGCTTCTTCAGCGATGTAATATTCTAGTTGGCTAAAACTAGTAAAAATTAAGGTGTAATTTGTTTAAGGCGAGGTAGGCTATCTAAGAAGTTAAAAAAAATGATGAAAACACTTATTTTTTGCCCCTCCCTCGTGAGTCTGCATACATTTTACTCAGTTTTGCAGGTTTTTTAGCCTAATGGAGGACTCTGCATAATTTGAATATATCTTGGCCATTTTAATCGTCTCTTGACATTTTTTAGTTTGGGGGGATGTGACAACATGTATAATTGAAGTAATTTTTCTCAGGCAATTTGGACCAATGTATATTCACTTCATCTTGGACTGCATGTTTTATTCCCCCTACACTGCCCTCTAAACAAATGGAAATCTTGAATTGAAATCACCAATCATCTCCGTCTATTGAACATAAACTATACTGGCCATTTCAGGTCTAAATGCACAAATTTATACAAAATATCCTCCCCATCCTGAAGCCACACCCTTTCGGGGGGAACTCTTTGTGAACACTCAAAACAAAGCTTTACTACAACCTACAACTTTTATTTTGTCCACGGGAAAAATACAGATTCAGGTACTCTACAATATTTGTATTTTTATACTACTAAAAACTTTAACATGAATATAAATGCGTCATATTTTCAGGCAAAAACAAAGATATATGAGAAACAGATTTCAATTGGGGTTTTATCATAAATACAGTGAAAGGTGAACTAAGTAGCTGTCACTGTGAAGGGATGCAAAAATTTTCTTTAAAAACACAATTTGGGACAAAATTATGTTAAATCCTACAATTGAAACAATTGGCTTGTTATCATAAAACTGCTATCATACATGTGCCTTATTTTGAATCATAACAGGATTGTTTTGAAGACAAGTTACTTGAATGACATAACTTTTTTTAAAAATACATGTACAATGTACTCACACATCAGATTAACTTCTGAGTAAACCTCTCCTACTGTTAGTATGATAAATGAAATTTATCTTATTCAGTTCTGACTCTAGAAGACAGTATTTCTGAAAATGATCATCTCACAGGATAATTGAAATTAGATTTTTTATTCCACCCATAAAAAATGCAGGCACGCATGTTACAAAGCCACATAAAAGATGTCACCAATTTCTTACCTGCTCAAATCTTCTCAACAAGGTCTATTTTAAACATACTTCAATTTACATGTGTCGGTACTAACTAAAATTAATTAAGGGATTTCAACTGAAGCTAAATTTTGTACGACTAAAACAAGAGTAAGAAACATGTTTGCACTAGCCTCTCAACCATTAAGCATCAATATAAAAAGAGGAGGTTTCCCTACATAATTTTGGTTAACTTTAAAAGCACCCACTGAAACATACAGTTAAAAGAACTTGAGATAAAGAGGACAAGAAATAAGATGCAAGTTTATGTTATACACAAACATTTTGAGGGTATTCTTTACTGGGGGACACATCATTCCAAATCTTTTCACTTGAAAAAAAAAAGGAAAAAGAATCCTTTACAGTGATTATTTGACCTAATCTAAAATGCAAATGATATTTTTTATCAAGACTTGGGATTTTTGAACATGTAACAGTTATTTCACATACTGACGACAAAAGAATTACACGCAAAATCTAGATTCTAAATATTTTGTGTAAGCATTACATGTCAATTTACACCCAAACACAAGGCTACAAATGTGAACAAAGCTACCTAGTACGAGCAAGGCCATTCGCATGATACAGTTACAAGTTTCAAAATGAAGTGGCAGTGAAGGTACTACAATATCTGAAATTCATTGAGTGACAAAAAAAAAAATCTGTTGGTATTCATCGTAAGGAAATTTCACTGAATAAATTTTTTTTACACTGATTTAAAAAGAATTGCATGATAAAGTGACAAGAGATTGCAACGCTTAAGACAAAAGTGTTACGTGTTCATAACCTAACTGTCAAATATTCTTCAAAAGTTTTCTCCCCATGTCTATTGTCATTCAAACCCTTACTAAACTAAACTACACAAAAGTCCACACGTGGCTTGGAATAACCATTTCATGGGATCTTTCCAATTATGAGTCAACAGCTAAAATCAGGAATTCTCCAGTTGTAAATACAAGGTAGAGCAAGTGCTGGCAAGAGACTTAATCCCAAGCTCTGGCAGGAAATTATGGATGCAAACATAAGTTACAGAGTCTTCTTGAACCAGGAAGTAAAGTGCAAACAATTGGAGTATCTCGCGTGTTGGTTCATGCGCTGGTTCTCATGCTAATGCCTTTTACACACATAATTGTGCTCATTACGTAACCACTTTGGTACTCTATACTACACCGGGGGTATTCTAGGTACCAGACAAGAACAGAGCAACAGTTCCATTGGAAGAAACAAATCAAATGAGCCAGTTTCGGTATTTCAAAAAACCAAGGTCTTTCAGGAACCAACCGTACATGAGTCAGCGTAAGGCTGTGCTTATAGGCCAGACTCTCGAGAGAGCGCACAGCTTTTCCTGGATAGCCTCGTACTGGGCATGCGCTGTTGGAATACTGAACTGACTTACTGATGTGGCATTCACAACTATTTACACAATTCATGTTTTTTGCAAACATGCACCTTAGAAGATGAGCTTTCTGTTTCTATTAAGCTTGAGCTGCTTATTTGAAATAATTCCTTTATACAAAGAGTACCATGGCTAAACAATTATAGGTAATTAATTTCTGAGTATCGAGGCAACTTTCACTCAAACCATTTGCAAGTCACATTCACCAAAATGTTGATTATAATTAAATTATTTTTTTGAAAATTGAGACTGGTTGCAAATGCGAGCACTTTTACTTCAACCTCAGACTACATGAAAAAAAAATCTAGTTCCTGCCTTTTTATCTGACTGGAACTGCTTGCTGTAGCCGGGGTAAGCAGACCTTGCAATTAAATTAAACCAAATATTATACATCTGAGATGTTACATTCATTCCTGTCATTGTTTCTGCTTCATTTACATGTTACATACAGTACATAACAGACAAATCAAACTTTAGGAGTCACCCCATCTTTTGAAAGAAAGGGAAAAAAATCAGGCTGAGTTGGGTAATAAAAATTGCAGCATTTTGTGTCAGAATGGACAAAGATTTTAAGTAAAATTACACAGACAGCCAAACACTAAACTGAACAATTCATCCAAGGGTCTTGAATGTTGCCATTCTTTGTATAGGAAGAACAAGATCAAACACAACATGCACGGATGACGGGATTTACCAACTTGAGGTTTCCAGTAACAAATAAAGTCACAATCCACTGCATTTTTTTTACAGTCTGGTGTGTTTCCATAGAGACAATGTTCTCCCTGATGACTGGCTGGGTTATATCTGACGTGTTATGGGAACAAACTGAATAGCACCCTCTCTACTCATCTGATTGGTCAGCTTCCTCTTCCTGGGGCTTGGGAGTGGGTTTTCGGCCGACCTTCTTGGGCCGGCCTCGCTTTCCAGGGGTGCTGGACCTGGATGTGACCTTGGCCTTAGCTGCAGCCTTCTTCTTCTTCTTGGGGGAGGTGACGGTCCCTGCAGGTGGTCTGCCGCGGGGCTTCTTTGGAGCGTTGGGATCTTTAGGTGGGTTGAGGCGGGGCCTGCCGCGGGGTCGTTTCGGGGCGTCAGGATCGACAGCTTTCTTGGGTTTGCCGGAGCCCTTAGGTCTGCCCCTTGACCTCTTGGCTGGAGGTGCATCACCAGCAGGTGCTGCATCATTACCGTCGGTTTCAGCTGCAGTTGCTTCCGCTTTGCGTTTCACCATCTCTACCACCTCAGTACAGACTCTGATGGGAGACTAAAATGCTGGGGTAAAAAAAAACAAAAGAATCAGCCACATGCCTTTTGACTAGGACACAATTTTCACCACTGATCTTTGTAATATTAAACTGTTTAGGCTATTTACTTAAAAATAAACAATGCAATGTCACATTGCTCAATGAGACAGCTAAACTTGCAGAACATCCAACAGCTAGCTGGGATATCTTTCAACGAATCCTTTTTAATTTTTTTTCAAATTTATTCTAGCATGGAATAAATTAGGCCAAGTAACATTAGGTCTGATGTATTTTAAAATATATCACTGGCTTAAAAATAAAGCAAGGATAACTTTAGTCTTTAGACCAATCTGTCTGGTACTTGTATAGCATTGAGGTCTAGTCTACAATTTAATTTGGCCACACTTTCTGAGGCATGAATAATTCCATCCCATGCAACACTACAAGTTTGGCTTTAGGGCCTATATGCAAATCCAGGGTAACTAAAAATTGTATAAAATAAGATGTGAACATAATTAAAATATACCAAAACACTTCGAAAAATACAGTAATATAATTAGAAAAAATATAGGTAAACCCACTAAAACTTCCACCTCACGTTACATTAAACTACAATATTGCCCATGTCTTCGATGCATGTTGCATGTGCCAGTAGCTTTATCAATAAAAATAAAATACGAAAAATTATAGAGGTAAAAACTTCGCCCAAAATTGCGCTTAGAATCAACATATACACCGCTCGAAAAATCACAATAAAAATCCAGCACTTTAGTTTTGATCTCAGTTCCTAAAATATATAGTTTAAACGCAAAAAAGTAGAGGAAATTGGCCAAAAACTCACGTATCAGCAACCGTTCGCTTTACTTCTCCAGTCGCACAGAACAAAGCAAAGGGGAACAGACGCGGGAAGAGTACGCCGAAATGGCTGTTGCATGTGATATTGTTCCCTGATGTTAAAATCCATGAGGATTTAATCGTTGGTTTTGAAGATTCAAGCTGTGAAACCAGACAAAAATCATGTAGAGAACTGGCAATTACCTTTATATTCCACATAAATGAATAGAGTAATAAATGTGAAATGTGATGACATTTAAGACACATTAAGGACGACGAAGGATTCCAATTCAGCAATTGTTGAAAACTTGAGTGAGGGAGAGGACGGTACTTTTTACCCCCCAAATTTTTCTTCATCAGAGGACCTGTAGGATTGTGACTCAAATGGCACCGAATATGTCTCCCCAAAAGGTTTTTTATGGTAACAAATAAAATAATTCAAATTGTATTGGTAAAACTTCCAATTCCATTTTGAGAATGAGAATATTTTGGAGATGGGCGACGGACGTGTCAGGGTGGAATACATCAATTTTCATGTGATTACGTCGTTTGCATTTATGTTTCTCAGCTGAGGTAGGCCTAGATATTCATTCTTCCATCGTATACTGACTCAATGAAGCCTCACTTCCAGATTTTGGTGCAGTTAAGTTACAAGATGAGATACTCAAAAGTGTCGTAAATATTTTTAAACGTCAAAGGATGTTCATAACATGTGCACATATTTTTATTCATTGAAGTGCAGGTAAATTATTGGCACATTGACGCCTACCGATCACGAGGTGGCGCTCGTTTGACGCAAAATACGCAAACCGCATCAACCAATATTATTTGCAACACCCAATTTTAATTGCAAGGTCGTTTGAATGTAGTCTGGTGACTGGACCTCCTGTTCAGGCGATAAAAATAGCAATTTGTGTTGGCGGGGATCAGATGGCAATTTGTGTACATATTTTGACAGGTTGATAAACAACATGTGGAACACGTGTGTGTGAAGCAAACCAGGTGAAACGAGGCACCAGCAAGAAAAGTTATTACTTGAAACAGTGCACCAGTGGCATGGATTAAGTGGCTGATTCTGCTGATGGCACAGAGCCTGGAAGTAGTAATGCTGTTTGGACCACCTTTCGCTGTAATTTGTGCAAACTTGTGTTTATCATGATTAATCTAAGGAAGGGTAGGCATGGTGCAGGGTATGGCGATTGGCGGCCCATCAACTGATCAAGATTTGCGGAGCAGAAACTAGGCCTGCGTGCGTGACCGTGTAGCCGGCCAGGTCCCTAATTTCGCCACCTATTGTCCAGTCTCATTGGTTTTCACAGTAAGTGGCCAAATAAGGGACCTGGCGACTGTACCGTCACGCACGTTAGGACCTGCCCGTCATGGATCATAAGTGTAAGATCATTAAGTTGGAGAGACTTTGCTATCTCCATGAGTCCATGCATGGAACGCATGCACAAAATGACAGACACAAAAATGGCTTACATTTACACGTTACGTGTAATTTCTCATATTTTTAAACAAAATTAACTAAAGGTAAACTGCAGCCCTTTGTTTGAAATCACAGTCTGACAGTTACCCTTGTTATGCTAATGAAAGTACTGGGCCTAGGGTATATTCCATTTTTTAAGAACATGCAAAGGATTATTTTGGCATGGGTTTCTTTCCAGTCTTCATCAACAGGGATCAAAGTTGATTCTTTGGATCAGGAGGTAATTGGCAAGTTAGGTAAATCAAGAAAGTAACTAGTTTTGGCCAAATTCCAACTGCCCAGTCATGCTAGTCAAATCATTCCGTTTATTGATTAATAAAAGCATTTCTGACAGATTGTGGCTAACTGAAAAAGAGTTTTAACATGAGAATATTGTCACTGTGTCTGGTGTAAACTTTTGAAAATCATGGATTTTTTTTCCTTAGGGGAAAACGGCATACTACAAACACCACCTTAAGAGGAGTCATGAGAGGGTGTCAGCTGTCGATCTGTTCAGAGAAGATTCAGACCTGGGATTGAGACAGGTCATCTTAAAAATTGTATCTCTACTGAAACAAGGAAAAAGAGTAGTCATTGACGATGAAAATTGGTCAAAGAGTACGCGACTGTCGTATGTCAAGTCCATATCAGCTAAGGTAAGTGAACACTGGAAATGACAGAACTAAAGAATTTTCAGGAATTTGTCAGCGGAATTGCAGAATACCCGCCACTCTAAAAACGACCCCTGGAATGACTGCTTACGTGGGTACAAGGTGAAACTCCTTTGAGAAGAGTGTGACACTTGGACTTGTACCTGGCTATGAGGTTGATCATGCGGGGTGGTGGGGTATTCTGCAATTGAGCTAATTTGTCAACCAACACTTCTAGTGAAGTGAAATGTTTATCTCAGGTTCCTAACTGCAAGTTTCGCTGCATAAAATTCAACACTGATGGACCACTTGCCCTCCACTGGTTGCAAGAATGGTCTCTCGCAAAGAGCATTCTTAGTTGTGACGAGAGGTCATTGGATGATTGGGCTCGGTGTGAAGCCAGGATATCACGATGGTTTGGAGACGATGTTACAGGACGAAGACCAGAGATACCTACGGCAGAGGAGGGCATAAGTCTTCAAGATATCCAGGTCAAATTGGTCGCTGATGATGTGGACTATAAGGTAATTCAGACATGAATGCTACAAAGGGCATTGTGAAGGAAATGATATTCAGCTTTGTTTCTGTTGATCATACAATTGAGTCAGTAGACAGCTTTGGATGAGTTGCAATTTTAGAATAAACCAATGAAATAAACTTGATGGAATTCCAATCAAATGTTCTATTTCACATTTAAAACAAGTTAGCCCACTGTGCATTACTGTATGCATTCTTTTGTCAGTTCGAAGTTCCTGCTCTCTTCATCGAGTGGGAGGGCATTTGTCAACAAAAGGAAGATGGAACTAACCGATCCCTTGAGGGTACCAGGGAAGTCCTACAGACCTGGACATCGTGCAACCCATGGGGGCGCATTATTATCATCTCACACGGGTCATGCAGTGATGGTAATTTTTATGTTTTTTTTTTAATGTACTGTTTATACTGTTGATGTCAAGTTGCTGATCTCTTGATCTCTGAAGAGGCAATGTTGTATTTTTTAATGAGTGCAGAGACTTTGAGACACACATACCATCTTGTAGTTTGAAGACAAAATGATAGATTGGGAGATCGCCAATGCACAGCATTGGTAGAGCACTTGTACAGAACTCTGGAAGTCACTGGTTAAAATCTCTCTGATGTCATTTTTCTTCACATGCTGAAAAAAAGTCATTTCCCATGTTAACATTTGCAGATGCTATATCAAAGGTGCCCGACAATTGGACGGTCATCAGCATGAAGCAGGCCCTGATGGACCTCTGTCAGTCTCTTCCAAGCCCTGTCTACTTTTACCACCACTCAGACCCAAAATCCTCTCCGTCTTTTGCCACACCCCCTCAGCCTGGTACCCTAGCGTTCCTTCAGCGGTTTCACCATATCCACCTGTGGCATAGGGGCACCTTGTACCTCTATCATACCATGGATCATGCAGACGGGGCTCGTGCTGCTGGAGTGAATTGTCTCAAAGCAGCTGCGGCCCTCCAGAGCCCTAGCTTGGTGTGCCTGAGCCAGTGCTCTGCCAGAGAGGATCCAGATCCTATTTTGAAAGACATAAAGCTGATTGGTCATTCTGAATTGGATCAGCAGAGGTCAACACCCAGAATTCCTTTGTACTCTGATGCTGTTGCATCAGGGGAGAAAGTATGTTTTGTCCTGGAATCTGACTGCAGACGAACTCTTGGAATCTGCTTCAGAGATAGGAATACATTAGACAGGTAAAACTGCAGGAAACTAGTTTGTAAAAACCAAATGAATGTCTTATGATGAAAGGGGAACTTTTAATTTAGGAAGTTATTAATCAAATCATTGGATGCTGAAACATTTGTATGCAAAGGGCAACTTTTCTAGTTTGGAGACGGTTGTCCTCTTTCCATTGTTACTATTTCCTTGAGGAGTACCTGTCCGTAGTCCTTTCAAGGAAAGTTGTGTTTTCTCTATAGATGGACGCTATGACAATCAAATATCTTGCTTAGGAACACAATGGGTTGAGAGATTGAACGAGCGTGCAGGAGATTTGTGGATGGGTTGCTGAAGTGTTTTTGTATCAGTATGATATTATTTCGGACTTTCACTTTAGGTATCAAGAGCTGTATGCGGAAACAGCCACTAAGATAATGGCCTCAGGGACCAAAATGGTCACCTGCATTCCAGACAACCCAGTCATTAATGGACAGAGACAAATCACTGACAGGTACGTAGTCAAGGAATTCAAGGATTTTTGCTTTCTCTGTTGACTTGCGGTTGAGACATTTCAATACAAGACTTTCCTAGTCGCTGGAATTGTGATCTTTGCAGTGAGTGAGTTTTTCTGCATCACATGGCATTTTGTGATGGGTTTAGGCAATTCTGCCATCCGTTTTTAAATTACATCACAGTTCCCGGATGCAATTTGCGATACAGATTTCGATGGATATTTCCAGTCAAAGAATTAGAAAATCTTTGGGGACCTTTGATAAACAGTTAGCTGAACTGTTATTAGTAAAATAAGTCAAAACAGGATGAAAATCCCACGATGCGGTCGCTACATGACAGTGACCGTACGCTCGAAACATACACGTACACGCATACGCGGGCAGGCTGTATATGCAACTTGGAAAGTTCTTGCCGTGGAGAAATCATGTGCAGCATGCATGAGATTGGTTCCCGTCGCCGCGTTGCGCTGCCGAGAGATACATAGTAGACAGACTGGAAACCAGACTTTATCACAGTGTAAATCTGTGGTGTAGAGTGAGATAGGTCAGTGTCTTCACTGCAGTAAAAATGCGTAGAGATGCTGTAATGATAGATGTATAGCCGTAGCTCTGGAAGCCTGCTGTGGACAAGCATAAGCTTTCTGACTGGGGCTTGATTGCGTGCACGTGGCTAGTGATGAAATGTAGCGACGCTGCAGGCATATTGTTATCGCACAAATTTTTTCAACTGAAAGTAAAGTCAAATTCAAATAACCAAAGTCCCCAGATACGATGTACGACAAAGTTCACTGAATTTGGCCTTCATCTGGCTGTAAGTATTTTTCATTCTTATGCCACAAACAAAAAATTGATCGTCCCTGCTCTACCTACTAAAAAGCCTGGACCCCAGTTTCTACTTTTGATCATCTATTTTGCATTTACGATACATAACAATCAATGTTTTGCTGTACAAAAACAAAATTGTGCAGCAAATTTGCTATACCTGTGTGTAAAAGTTTGGAACGTGATTGCTCACTGGTATGCATGTTATACCTGCTGAACAAAATGAAGCTACTGTAAGCACAGTCCTGCTCATACATTTATCTTTAACCCTGACTTGGTATGAAATCAAGAAGTAAATGTCCTCTTAAAGTTATATGAAACTTTTAAAGTCTTCCTTCATTCCACATGATAGTGTTGACTCATCTCAACAAGAGGCCGTGACATCTCAACAACCAATCACCCTGACAGCCTCCAAACCTGAGACCCAGCAGACCACACGAGGGCTCCCTTCTTGGATGCTGTCCCAGAGCCTCAAGAAGACCAAGAAAGTGGATCGGCTGATTGGTGGTGAATCGTTTGAGGACAGTAGTCTGGAAGAACCAGCAAGGTGGGATCAAGATGTGTGGACCTCTAAGTATTGATTGTCGTAACAGGTTGCCTGCTGCAATGCTTGAATCCACAGTTGGAAAAATCAGAACTTGGTGTATGTTGAGTGCAAATTTTGATCCCAACTTTGAGTTTCTCAAACTTTCCATTCAGTTTCTTTGATTTGGAGTTCCTGTATTGTAATAAATCAGTCTGTTTTACTAGTTTAGTATTTGTCCCCAAAATGAGCACATCATAAACTCATTCAGGTTTGTTTTATATTCTTAGTTGGTAAACGTAAATAACTACACCTCACAACGTTCATTTGGGAAAGAAATTGACAAGGACTTCAATCTGGTTTGTCAAGGAAGAAGAAAAGTGACGTGTCTCCACTGCTGAGTACTGTCTACTGTATGAGTCCTGCCGAGCTGTGTGAGACTGCATGGATGATTCTGAAAGAGGTCAGACAATGTAGCTAGAGAGAGGGACAGACAAACAGAGAACCAGTTTGACACAGCTTCAGTGTTTAGGGGCAAGTCTCCTAAAATTTCTCGTCTATGTAATGTTTGCGTTTGATGTCAGAGTACCCTGTTAAGTGTTACATATCTCTGTGTGCCAGTTTAGGAACCCAGGAAAGGTTGCAGAGTTAATTACATCTATTGCTCAGCCTTTGCCTGACTGAAAATGTTTGATTACTCTCAAAAACATTTGGATTTGCTAGTGCAATTGCTGTCAAAAAGGATAAAAGCCTTGCTTCGAAGAGTGTGAAACTCTCTGCCTAGTTTATGCTTCAGTCTGTGGTCATTGTGATTTCATTTTTTGTCAAGGATCATGATCTTGACAGCTCCCGGCAAGCAGACCGAGAAGATTCATCATTATCCAGAGAAACTCAGGAGCTAAGGACAATCACAAAAGATGCTTCCATCCTAGTTAACCACTCAGAGGATAGCATATCAGCTGAATCAAGGAGTGACATGCACACAGAGTCTGGAGGAGAGGAGGCACGTCTCCTTGACGACATCTTTATGGTCTCGTCGCCAGGCATGAAACCACCTCCAAGAAAAGCAAAGTAAGAGCTTTATCATCCTCAAGGGGTTCATTCTGAAGCTGTCTTTATTTTGTTCTGACTGGAAGAAATGAGAAGGTCATATTATTTATAGTTAATGTTGACATCTCACTTCAAGGTCAATTGTGCCAAATTGGAATGATGGTTTTTTGCACGTCTAAACCAATACCGTTGCTTGCTTTAATTGTATGTTAGAAATATGTCTTGTATAACACAAAATGTCTTGTTAAATGTCGATTATTATGCTCCCAAGTTGTGCAGGTCATAAGTTTGGTGTTAACCTCATTGAAACTTACTGAAATTGAGAATGATTTTTATATCGTAAAAACTCCAACTTTGGTAGCAATTTCCAACTTTATCAAGCTTGTGTTTGATTTTGAAATGATCTTACAGTACAATGGTGATGCCATTAAAGAAATCATTATAAAATTGTTATTAAGGGAAACATGAAGCAGTAAGTCGTTGAATTTGGTTTCCATCTTAATTCTGGAATTTCTTCTAATGATTAACTTGGCCTGATTTGGAAACTTCAGTATCCTGGACATGCTAGGCGACCGATAGATCAGATAAGAACTGGAAAGTGCTCTCAACAAATGTAATCTCTCTGTGTGAGCAGAAAGACAAAGTTCTTTTCCGTCACATGTTTGGCTGAGCGCTCATGGTGCACATATCAAATTTCAGTTTGGAGATCGATCCAGATTGGTGGCGCGGTCGGAAATATGGACTCTTTATTTTTTACCAGCCTGCCAATTTCAACACACAATCTGCTCAGTTTGTATCCTGTTTCACCTAATGGCCGAAAGTAAAGTGTCGGCAAACACTTTCACAAATTAGGTCATGTCAGGTCACTGGCATTGATGGAAAATTGGCTTTTCCTGGAGACAAAGTGTGCAGGATATTCAAGCCGATATTGGGGGTAAAAACCCGTGTGCAAATTTGCGGCGAAAATGTGCTGATTGGAATTGTTTGATCTTCCCTTGGTAAATGAATCTGTGAATGCAATCAAGACTACCACGCTGACCTGAGAATCAGTCAACAACAGGAATATCAGTTAATATTGACTTAACCAGGCCTGTAGTGGTGGAATCTCTGTCTTCAGATTTATTGAGCTTCGTAAAATCACATGCTGGAAAAGATAATAACACATGCTGGAAAAGATGATAAATAGCATCAATTTCTGCCTGTTGGAATATCCCCGATTGACTTACGTGAGCTTTGTCAAATAAAAGTCTGTTTAAATGTGTAATTTCACAATTCTTGCATCCAACCAGAATTGGTACCTGCCTAATGTTTAAACCAAGGTATGCAACATTTGCCCTTCCAAATTTAAGGTTTCCTAAGAAGAGTCAGAAGTACTCTAATAGTTCCTCTGCCCGTCCTGAGTGTTATGCCCCTGAGACTGTAATGAGTGTTCCAGAGACTGCTGGCTACACTGCAGCATCTATAGGACCAAAGGAATCTACCATTGCCCTTGTAGGTGAGTCCTCTACGAAACAGATCGAAACAGGGACAAAAGAAAGCAGAGGGCCTGATTTCTCCTTTTTGGATGACATATTTTGAAATCAGTGCTGTTTCACTTCACATAGCGATTGTTTTAAAATAATGCTTCACAATATTCAATAACCTAAACACAGAATAGCCATTCTTTAAGTATGCATCCCACAAAGTGTAATGAGTGTTTATTTATGCTAACGTGCCCTTTCAAAGCATATTCAAATTCGGGACTTAAAATTCTAGCTACTGGTTTGGAGTGGTTTGAAGGGTTCTACGAGACTGTTTACAAGCTAACTGCATTAATGCAGTAGCTAAACCACAGAGTGAAGGTTATTACCTCTATAAAGATTTGTTCCCTCCATTTTGCATAGCAGGAAGCACTTTGTTTCCGCCATTTTATGACATGCTTTCTAAAAAAAATAAATGATTGAGTTACCAACAGGACTTGCATCAAATGGACCTCACCTGGTGTTTTTCTCAGCCGTAAAAGCCAGATGAAGGAGCTTTTAGATCCTCGTTCCTACTGAAATTTCATGAAGCTGAAGGTTTCAAAGCAATTTTAGCAATATTCAATATTTAGTTGGAACGGTCCTTTTTTTTTCGCCCGAGGAGAGGGAGTGTTTGAGGGTAGATAATTATGGAATGTCCCACCATCTCCAAACATCCTTCCTTTATCTACCCCTGTATACAAAAAATCAATGTCTTCTATTTTTTCTGCCATTTACAGATTTTTTGGTCATTATATCAGGCTTGTATATTTCATTGACGTTTTCTTTGGTACAAGTGGACCTAGTCAAAATAAAAGGCCACTTGTTTAAATAAATTGGCTTTTGTTTGGACTTTTTATCCAAATAGGGTTTGATTTTGTCAATATGGCTAAATTTCACTGGAATGAGGAATTATTAACTGTATTAGTGTCAGCCATTGAGTCAAGAATGAAATTCAGGATTAATGATGATGTGTTCTTGATTTGATCCTGACGAAAAGACTGTTAAATAGTCCTCTGCTTTAAAACAAATTCAAAGCTCACGACTAACTGAACACTTGCTACTGATGAATGAGAGAATAAGTAGTGGGAAATGGAAATCAAATAGGCCTCGCCAGCGATCAATCATTTTTCTTTGTCTCCAATGGGCTTTTCCTTTCTCTTTCAGTTTTTCTTCCCTGTCGTCGATTAAATTTGCCCCCGTTGTTTTTCCGTGTGTTTAGGGCAAACAGTGCGATCACGTTCTGTTTAAAAGCCATGCCTGGAGATTCCTGCACAAATACAGGGCATTTTTGAGTGTCCATTGGTGCGAGACTGGTAACATGGTTTGCTTTTTATCAGCTGAACAAGAAGCGACGCCATTCGGTTAGCCTCCTGTCAGGTTTCTCGACGGTTGATTTATTGAAGACTTTTAATATTAATTAAAACACGGCTAATTCTGGTGTATGGGCTCTTTATGGGTTTGCAATTTTCGTTGTAATGACAAAAGGCGCCATTTTGGACGAACGCTTTTCATATCTGTTGCTAGGCGCTGGCGATGCTAGATTCGACTTCAGGAGTTAAGAGAAATTGACCGAGCTTTCGCCGACTTCCTCATTTGTCTACACGAGGCGCCAAATTAATCTCGCTACCATTTGTCCAGTTTAAAACTCGTTTGTGGTCCTGATATACCGATGCCTTACCCTCATTAAAAATTAACAGGTTGTGTAAAACTGGCAACGCTTACCGACCATATGGTCCTTTGTCACTCCGGCAGCCTAATATGTTATCGCGGTTTATTTTGACTCTCCACAGTGCTGTTATGAGACGGAATTTGGAATCATTATGATGTCAGATTAAAAGCATGATGATATTTGCAGAGCTGCATTTATTGAGGATTTTACTTTCAAATTAAAATATGTTTTGTGTCCGGCACTCTTCAGCGGTGGGGTCATTTTTATGCGACTGTTTGGGACCGCAGCGTCTGCAAGTCCCTTTGGATTACCTATGGCGGGGCTGGTAAGCTTCAGGACCCCCATTAATCATCAACAGGATTGTTTACTCAGAGTGAAAATAGCCTTGCATGTGACACGAAGTGTCTGCATGAAACGATCCGCTTTGATTCGGGCATTCCTCTACATCATTCGAAAATAAACATGACCGTTCATGAAGTGGTAACTTCGGAGCAGGGACGCGTATTCGATAAACATAACGACCGCAGCTGAACCTTTTCATGTTTAACTTATTAAATTTCTGCGATCAATTTCTTTCTGGAATTGTGGGTGCATTCTATCATGTTAGAATTTTTCAAAGGATGCATTATGTTGAAAGAATATTGACCAGTTTCCCTGTCATGGTGTTTTCTTGTTATATTTTAAGTGAGAGTTTTTGTTCATTCAGAAAATTCTGCTAGCCGGGTCACTTCTTATCAAGGACCTTTACATGTATAATCAAAATAATGAATGTGTTTAAATGAACTCCAGCCCTTCATCAAATTGAACTGAAGCCATCTTATTCTAAAATAATCTTACACAGTTTCCCTTGCACTGTTTGTTGTGAAATCATCACTGAGTTTGTATTTTCTTTTCTTAATTTCTTAAATAAATACATACACAAATTCATGAATTCAAATTCGGAGCAGTATTCCCATACACTATCAAAACCATATCAGGATTGGTCCTTTGTATTGAAACGTTTAAGTTTCCTGTAATTTTTTCTTTTCCAAGTTTACAAACTTTGAAGCATGCTCACTTCAAGCTAAATATTTGGGGTCATCTTAAACGGATAAAAAAATATAAACTACTGTGTCGGTACGGTAAATATTTTACAGTGTTGTGATAAAAATATTAGATTAAAACTTAGAGCTTCTTAAATTAAATTACGTAAATTAAATTTAGGATTGCACAATACCCGATTTACTGTATGTACATTTAATTTGCACTGTTCACATTGTATCAGTCACGTGTTTGTTCCGTTGAAGCCATAACCCACTGTCTTTGTTGTTGACGCATGTCATCTGGGATATGTCGTTTGTCTGGTCTTCGTACCCAACCTAGCTAAATTCGTCTATTCGATGCGGTTTATCTGTTGTGTTATCGACTAAGTAACCGTTTTCTTCGATCTTTCCTGACTTTTTGTAGGCTATTATATTTGATGTATTAAATGCCAGGGATGACAAGAGCTGTATTTGCCAGATTCGATTTTGTGTCTGTACAGGCCACTCAGGTCAAATTGATCGATGTTTTTTTCCAACAAAATGTTGGAGAGATGATGGCTGAGAGGGAAGTACTGTAGTTTATCTAACCGATCGAATTCACTGGTATTTGCAAGATTCAAAGAGTTGTAAACCGACAGAATTTTGTCCTTCCTCTCAGATTCTTTTCAGTGTAAAGAATTGGTTTTGTCATGGGAAGACTCGGTGTTTTGACATAACACAAACCGTTGCTTGAGTGTAAGAAGTATTAGCTTGGACCCTGACCAAATTTGATCATCCCCGTTTACCATTTGCATTATTTTTTAAATGCTTGTATTGGAATTGTACAAACTGTTCAGGGACAAGACGGGGTGTATTTTAGAAGCCCATGACTCTTATCAAAATGGCAAGTTTTTGGCGGGATTTCTTTCTGTGTTAGACGTAACCCATTTGGATACAGATGTCGTTCATGTCTACTTGGTTCGATTCGTCCCACGGGACTTTCTTCGTGAATTCCTCAGTCATTTTGCGCGAGTTCTCGCCCAAGAGTTTCTTCTTGTCGTCTGCCGCAGTCTCACAGAACGTTGAGTTAGATGACAAACTTGAGACCGAGACGGCATCCTCACCAGCCGTGTTTTGGGAATTTACCTCTGCCGAGAGAGAGTGGTATTTACCCGGTACTTCTGCCTCTGTTAACACTGTCTCCTGTTCTTTTCCTTTGTCAAGGCAAGATCGAGAACTTACATCTTCACTTAAAACAAGTGTCACTTTTTCAGTGTTCTCAGCAAGACTGTTTTTGTCCTCGTATCCAGGCTGCAAGATGCTATTCGAGGTGTTCCTTTGAAGCGAAGGCACCTGCACAGGGGTCAGCTTTGTCTGGATTGTATCGTCAAAGATGCCATCAGCATGGGAATCCAGGTCACTGTTTTCCTGCGTTTTGTTGAGAGCCTGAGTAGCGGTTTCTGTTTCAGTTTTGCTCGCGCACATCATAGTACTGTGAATGGCTAAAACATGTTCTTTGTTTTCATTTCCTGAATTTTCTGGGCTCGGACTGTTTGTCAGCTTGTCTCTCTCTTTCCTGTCCTCTTTCGTGAGTTGGACGTCATTACCTGAACTTTGACAAAGTACATTTATCTCTTCGGTAGATTTCCCCTTGATTGTCTTCGATAGTAATGGAGTTTGTTTCGACTGCTCTTTAGAGCCCTTGGTTGTTCCACCTGCACTCGGTCCCGTTTTGCTACCAACATACACCCCTCCGAGAATCTCAGGTACCCCTGGTTTATGATCTTCCACAGTCAAGGTTAGAGTCTGACCGAGCATGGAAACCACAAACATGTCCCCTTCGCCTTGCCCCGGCCCCGTGCTGTCCGTCTCCCTCAAAGAGAACTTCACCGGGCAGTTGGCGGGACCGTTGTCACTGTCGTTCTCTTTCGTCTCTTCTATGAAATGAATCACAAATAGCCCGCTGGATTGTCTCCTCATGCCGTCTCGTAGCCGATGTCTGTGGGGTATGTTAGCGTCCCCAATCCCTTCTGCTGCTACCGAGGCGTTAGCCACCGCCGTGACGTCTGTGACCTCTCCGCTCCGTGAAAATCCACGGTGTGGTTCCCCTGCTTCCCGGCGCACCAACCCGTTCTCTGTACCCCGCGTTCCGTCCTCCAAAATGTGAACGGATTTCTTGCGCGCCTTGCCCGCGGCGCGCGCTGCCGACCCGTTCTGAAACGTGTCTGACACGAATGGAGCGCCGTGGATCTTGCCTCCCAAGCTTCGCAGGGACTTCAGGGGCCTCTCGTTCCGAGATTGACCCTTACCCTCCCCCTCTCGGCCCCCGCCTTCCGTGGGTGAAAACTCAGACTGCCTCTGCATGTGAGCTAGAGTCATTCTGCGCAACTCCTGCACGGTGTTACGCTCTGGACGCACCAGCACAATATACACCTTAGGGAAAAACAGCAACACCAGCTGCGCTAAGGGAGTGAAACTTAAACTGATGTTCGTCACAATGATCTTCGTAACGCTTTGTAACGATTGCGAAACTCCGAAGCAGGTAAAGACGACCAACAAACAGACGGTCATGGTTGCTAAGATGTGCCGCGATTCGCCATAATTCTCCGGTAGGCGTCGTGCCTTGAAGGCGAAGCACAGAGACAGTATCGTGAGAAGCATTGGATAAACGCTGTTGGTGATGTTTATCAGACCGTCGCTTTTACATTCCGTATAAGTGACCATCAGCGCTGGGTCATGGGTGTACTGTACCCCGGGGGGAAAGATTATGACGTATACAATACTTATCATGGCATGCACCAACGTCAACACGATGACGCTGACGACTTGTAAGCTACGGCCCAGTATCCACTTCCGATGAACCACCTTGGGTAGCCGGGCCTCGAAGATGCTGAGCACGCGGTGAGTCTTGACCAAGAAAATGGCATAAACGCAGGTGATGATGGGACTTTGAAAGGTCGTCAACACACACCGCCAAAGCTCAACAGGACCGACGTGAAGGACTGGGAACGAAAAAGAAATCATCAAGACGAACAAGAGGAGAAAACTCAGCTCCCTGTTGGCTGCCTTGACGATCGGGGTATGGCGGTATCTGACGAAGACGACAAAGACTCCGAGATCTAACAACGCACTGAGGATTGCTATCGTCAAGAAGACGATACCTGCTGGGTCTAGTAGCCCAAATTCCTCCCGGGGGAAAGTCTGACACTCACAAGACGTGACGTTGTACCACTCCTCTGACTCACAAGGCGAGGAATCGACATCCTCACTCCCGCTGCAGTTGACGCCTTCAGATCCTTGACAAGAAGCGAAATAACGAGAACAAACTCAAATCATTTGGGTCGGCGCCGCAGGAATAGATTTATCAGTTGAAAATAGGCAAGCGATCAGTATCCGACGTCTTCTTGTATAGAAAACTCAAGGTCCTTCCAAAATGACAGTAGTTACAGAAATGGAGTTTAATGCTATTTTCATGACTTTTAAAAAGTAAACTTTTTAATAGTCAAACTCAAAGAAAACAGAAGCCTTACGGTTAAGACTTCATTGGTCTCATTGGAACTACGCAAGGGAAAATAAGATTGCTATACATTATGTGCAATAACCGTGTTTCGTCTTAACAAAATGAGAGGTTTGTAATTAACACCAGTAGTGCTAATATTGTAGCCTTTCGAGGAAATATTGGATTTGGAAGGATATTTGGTAGTATGATTCGGACATGCATCGATAGTTGTATCAGTAAAGAACTTACCAAATGAAGAAGTTACTGTGGTCATACTTCTTTCCATATCCGAGGAGGTCATAGTCACTGCCGTACAGTGTTTTTTGCAGACTCTGCTATAGTTGTCTGTTAACTTTTGATAGCCAGCTTTTGAAGACGGCTGAAGCGAAGGCTAGCCGTTGGGCTCCTTACACGTGCGGTTTCCGCTGTTGCTTAGGAAAAAGATAAACAAATTCGTGAATTGACATCTTTCCACTTTAAAGGTCCAATAAAAAATTCTTGGGAAGCTGTCGCTTGACGTCTAGGATCGGATCAAAAGGTATTTCTTTAGGATTCCAACGAGAGTGAATAAAGGCCTGCACCTTGACAAAATAATTCCTTGTTCTATCTAGCGGAATCATTTGGATGAAATAATTGTTCGAAAAATTAAAATTATTTTCCACCAAATGCTACTTCTTTTATGCTATTTCCAGACCCAGGGTCGGTTGCGTATAATTTTACAGTTGAGGACTTTACAGGTAGGTTCAAGCTTGCTTTAGCCCCTGCGTTTACATTTGCAGACATTTTGTTAGGATTTTTATAAGTTTGCTGCATTATTGTAATCAAGTCATTTACGTGAACAGATGGCCACGTAGGCCTACACTGCCGAAATGAGTGTTGAAATATATTTCACACAAAATCGAAACTAATTTTGGTAAATTTGAGTCACGTGACATGTTTCAATTTGTTGTAACAAGTCCCTGGTTGTTCAACGCTGCCACTTCAGCGTCTGGCGTTGGTGATCAGACACCCAGACGCGAGAGTAGAATCTATTGATAAGGAAGATCATTAGGATATTTGTCATGAAATTAATTGTTTTACTTGTTAGGTGATACACCATATGGCGAAGCGTATACATGGAGAAATCTTAAATTTAATTAAAAACTGACAACTTTATATCGGTAGTTGTCAGTGCGTGAATACTTGAATATCTTACCACTTTCATCTTCAGATAGCTGAGCACGTGCAAAGAAAAATCTCTACAAAATGAAATCCTGTTGTCGTGAAGCAGTCGCGGTTTGACACAGTTGTCAGCATTCCTTTTCGAAGAAAGGTTGGGATTATGTAAACTGTACGGCGGGCTTGTCCCTTAAATGTCTTAAAGCGTGTGGTCGATGAGTCGGTTGTGGGGATCAAAGCGACAGACAACGGCTCTTACATCGCAGCCAGCCACGCCGATTCCTTGCCTGTCCCGTACAGTGCCGTGCTGTCACGCCTGACGACCAAGAAATCGATACGCTGGCTAGATAACATTTTCTCAATCTCCGGCGCGTGTTTAAGAAGAAATATCTTTTTCGATGTTTATTTCGAGTCCTTTCAGATCGGGTATTTTCCTAAGCAGTGTTGATTAGAAGTTGATACGTGTATCCATTGAGCTATCTATGGTGTATACGTACGGTCGTTGTTGAGGGTGTTTAACGATCGTGGTCGCGTATCTCAATGAAGTGTTCGCCCTCAACCATTCGTTACTATTATACATGTTCGAGCGTGACTGTAAAACAAAAGACATCACAGTGACGTGAACATAGACTCCATTCAGTCGTCAGAGCTTGTTTCAGTTGTACCGCAGCACTCCGTGGCAACTGAAATGCTCGCTATCAAGAAATCTGTGATAAATTGGCTTCGTCTGTGCCTCGGATGACCCAAGCTTGTCGTGTATTTACTCTTCGAGACGTTTGTCAGATCAATGCTGGCTTTTTCCGAGCAGTGTTCTGAACTGCGCCTTTGTCTGGAAATATATTGCTTATTGAAACGCGAATTACATGGGACCAACACGATGTAATTCCGTTTCATCGGTGGGACGGTCTTAGTTGTCAGTCTGAGAAAATATATCGTCATCTTTCTTTTTTCTTTTCCGAAGCTTGGACCAAGTCTTGTTCCGGTCATTTACTTTGATTATTCCATTCTTGTGGATGCGAATGGAGTAGGCACTATGCAAAAGAAAGAGAGATGTCATGATTTAGCAAAATGACAAGTGGCGTCAAAGCTGTGTTTGATGCATTAATGTGATTGGTTGGAGTGCGTATTACTGAAAGATTTCTTGGTCCTGAGTGGTCGTTGCATATAGTGAGTAATGCTGGAATCAATCGAATTTGTGCATAGCAGGCTAAAAGCTGCTTGACCTCTGTCCTCTTTTTCTGAAATAACATGTTTCACTGAACATGGATTTTTGATGTTTCATGTATAATTATACATCTGAAGATGTGTCTTATAAACGGCATCTAAGAATAAGAATCTAAGTATACAAAATGTATACTGACCGGTCAGAAAGGCCATAAAAGATTCCAAAATAAAGGTGCAGTTTGGGGCCCCTCATCCCCCAAGTTTCCTCCCTCAAAAAAAATTGGTCCTGAATCCGCCGTTGAATGAAAGATACGGTAATTAATCTTGTCAGTGATGTTAATATTACGAATTTCCTTTTTTTAAGTCAAAAAAATAAGTTGTTTGTTCTGTCCACTGAAAGCCCCCTTCCAAGAAGCAGGGTGATTACATTTCCCCTATTCTTAATTTCAAGTAGCCATGACTTTTACTTAATACATTGACGTATGTTGAACTCATTTTCCTTTTAACTCTAAACGGTTCCGTTCTCCTCTAATGGGCCGCCAAAAATCACATTTATTACAGTTAGGGGTTCAAGCCAGCGAAAGGGCGCGAAATAAAAACAAAAAGTGCGCGGAATACTCTCGTCAGACAATTTGCGTGAAACGATTATCCGGAGGTGGTTTGTATTTGTGATTTCAGCCGACCCTCAGAGCCGAGCAACCACCGGTCATCAAGGTAAGACGGCGGACTTTGTTCTATCGTCATTATGGACGGGCAAAATTGGATGTTGCCCGTTAAAAAAATGATGAGGCTATTGCTTATAGTTCGTAGTAAGTAAAATATGGAAAGTCGGATGTCCACAGTTAGTGTTTGGTTGCTTGAACTGCACAAATCTGCCGAGAGCGGGAAAATGGTTTACCGGCAAAGTGAGGTTCGCCAATTAGGTAGCATTGCCTTCTGTGTTGTCGGTTGTGGCCCAAAATGAAGTCTGCAAAATCTCGATTGTGCGTCTTTGAACTGCTGGGCTTTTGAGTAGAAACAGGCTGATTTTCGGTCTCAATTGGTAATCTTACTTTCCTTACTGGTGATCTTTCCAGGACGCACATCTCGAGCAGTATCTTTACCAATATTTTTGTCTATTGAATATTGAATATTTTTGATTGATATTCCTCGGGTTTGTTGATAGGTTTAAATTTCAAATTTTAAAGACTAATTGGTTTTTAGTTTGTATTTTTGGTGTATTTTTATTGTATGCAGAAGGCCATCCGAATTTTCCCTGCTTGGAGGCATAATAAAATTATTTGAATCTTAAATCTTGAATACATAAATCTTATGCAGACTACAGCATTTTAGCACATAGATGCTGTATTCAAACAGTGCCGTTTTTATTATTTTGACTCTCCAAATTTGCGGTGTTTGATTACGTTATTTGGTATACACAGTCTTGTCACCACGAGGGCAACACCATTTGTGCTAATTCAACTCTTCACTCTTTGCAGTACAAACACCGCAGAAGTTCAATACAGGAGACAATGTCGGCACACTCAAGCTTTGAGTAAATTGTCGAAAATTGTTATATGCCGGTGTGTTACAAAATACATGTATATCAAACGACTTTTCTTACAAGTTTCGTTTATGGAATAAGGGGGACCTTTTCTAAAAAATAAGTGACAATTCGTACGCATGGCATGTAATTGTTCATTTTGTTGGTCCAATATCTCCGTCCATGCACCGTTATTTCCTTGGAATGAAATGAAAGCACTTAAAATGGCCAGTTTTCGGTTTCCGGTATTTTGCCTTTTCATTGGCCGCTTGATTTGGTACACCATACGAATAACATCATAGTGAAGCTTGTGTAACTTATTCCCCAAAATCCAATAAAATGAAAAATGCGGGACCACTCTGTATCTCACGATCTATAAATTCACCCTTATCGCTATAGCTTCCTTAAGGAAACGGCGGGAAACCCATGCATGGTCACGACTCCGCGGTTCGCTCACGCTTGAAGAAATTAACTACACGGTCTGAGTTCTCTCAGGGTGCAGCGCGGCGCGCAGAGTAGATGGAAGATGAAATGGTCAAAGAGTTGCATCAGACGTTGGACGTTGTGTTTGAAAGCGAAATCAGAGGCAGATCCAACGACTTCCGAGCTTTTGCATGACATTGAGCTAAAAATAGGTATTTTACCAAATAGGCCTCTACTGAAACTGTAAAACTGTCCGGGGATATTCTGAATTTCCGTCATATTTTGCGATTTTGTGAAGTCTTTTGAGCTAGGTCAGCGTGTGGGGTCCTGTGTATAATAAGGCATTGAATGCGAGCTCCACTATCACAACGAGGTGTAAGTAATATGGGAAATCCAATATGGCGGACAGGATTTGTTTGCCTGTCAAATAAGTCTCATGGTGATTTGGGTAAATACTTACAGTTTGATGTTAACTTTCTGTTTGTTTAAGCCTATAATTAGTAATATTTATTAAGAATTAGGCTTTGTGGATAACTTTTATTTCGCTATCCTTTTTATTCAGATGCCAGTCAAATATGTTCGGAAATCACGCCGGGCTTTGTGGTTGCCTGAAGACATGCAGACAGCCATCAATGCATGCAGAGCCAAAGACATGGTTCTGACAACAAATTATAGGCTTGCATGGGCAATTATAATGCAGCCAAAACAGCATTTAACAGTATATCAGGTGTGAAATAAAAGTGTTGGCATACATGTCACGATATGATGCATGTGTTCATACACTTTTATCTTAATTCCAAGTATGACGAGGCAATTTGAAATAATTTGTGAAATTGCATTTTTATAGTGAGATAATTACACGTCTTGTCTGAGTTTATGTATGGAGATGTCAAAGGATGCTTTTATTTACATTAAACATGTTAAGTAAGTGAAATTCCGTGTGTAAATATTTTCCAGTTCAAAATAATTATAATGTCTTTACATTGTCTTAGAATCAGTGTCCCATATTGCCTGCACATCACGCTGTCTCATGCTGCCTTTGGTGATGACGTCATACTTTGCATCTTAACTGTGGATGCAACATGATGCAAGTTGTAGCATTCAAAGGAAGAGTAGTTGTTACTCTTCCCAACAACCAATGTTTCTTTCTAATTGTTTCATCAGTCTTTATGCAAATTATGTAAATGAGCTTCATGGTCACATATTACCTGCGCTTACCGTATGTTTAATTTCGGAAAAATCACTATCTGTAAATCGGTACTCAGTGTAGTTCTTTAAACTTGAAATTTACACTTTCTGCCTTTAAAGTGATGGATAAGACCCTATAACCATAAAAGGGGCTAAAGAAATCGATTTGCAAATACACATAAAAATAATTACCGATTTGCGCTATGATCTGCGCATGGATGAAATGATATTCATTATCATATATATCATGGATATCCGCTATGATCTAACTAATGTATACTCGGTTGCCAATAAGCTCACAATCGGCAATAATTGCTCGGGAAATCAATAACTTATGGCCTTAAGATTAGTTTTATAACAATGGAATGAAAATTTTGTAAATTTCCTCCACCGTGTCTGTCATTACCTACCGTCGATCTCTTTACCAGTTATTTCTAACGCCGTCCTGCCCATGGATATCCATTGCGTCGTTCCCCATTTCTTTGTCACAATGGCCAAAGGTGTCTAAACACACATTTGAACTTCAAAAGTGTCCCTTTTTTTCAGAGTAAATGTAAAGACTTCTGCTTTGAAAAACTGCTTGCTTGCGTAAAGCGCGCCCCCAGTCTCCATAATAATAGACGTGCACCACTTGTGCTCTTACCCTTTGGGGCAATTATAGTAGCGAATAATTACGTCGGTATTATTATCTCAATTAGTTGAATTTCTAGTACATCTTAAAAGAAATTACCAAGAGATATTTAGAATTTCTAACGTGAATTATAAATGAAATAGTTTAGGCCTAATGAGATGGTCATAACTCTTGTGGAAGTAGGCCTAGAGCTCAGAAAGACTTTTTGAAGGAATATTTAAGACATTGATAAAAGAATGGGTTTATCAAATCAAAGGTAAATTGAAGTTATTCCCTGCTGGATTTGTGTAAGGTGACGCAGTGCAATTATTCCCGTCTCGCTCTCTCTTCGAAAGGGCATCGTTAAGGAGACAATTGAAGACAGAGTGAATTACAAGCAAGATGGAACCTTTACCACAAAGGCTATTTTGTAATCCGCTGAAGGCGGTATCCATTCTGTGCATTTTTATTTTGTTCATAAACAAAGAGCTTTAAAGCCTTCGTACAAGCCAATTCTCTATGCCGTGGTAACAGAGAACCCGGGCCCCACCTTCGCTTGCATACCGGGCGCACGCAAATTTTTGAGCCATCATAGAGGAAACTTCTTCGAACCACAAAGGAAATCTTTCTAAATCAAGGTGAAAAGTATCAAAAGTAGCAAGGACAGGATCATCTTTATTGCCACGATAACAGAGTAACCCACCCGATTTAGTTTATATCAATGAAATTATATACATTGTAACCATTTCAAAGCCATACTGATTCTCTTTGTTTATTGTCTGGACCCGCGCTCTTGTGAGATAAATTTTGCAGGATTTCCAGTTCCGTCCTTTGTAATAATACAGGGCGCCCTCTACCCACAGGTTCCGTCCGGCCAACCCTCCGCTTGTCACCTACCGCCAACGCAAGGAGCTGGGAGGAGGCGAATGCGCTCCACACATTTTTTGAAGGATGATGTCAAAGCTATGAATGTGCAAAGCGCTGTTGGTTACTTGCTGTCGTATTGAACGCACGTAGTGCGCACGTGTCATGAGCACGTGACCCCTTGTTATTATTCAAATAAACTCGGTCCAATGATTGTTTGACAAAAGATTACAGCATGATTTGCTCTTTGTACAACGTGTGTCACCAGTCATTATGTGCAACTTAACGGATAAGCCAATCAGACCTACGTCGTTGATATGTAGTTATTAATATTGATGTCGACATGATCTTGCATAATGTATACGGAATTTCCACCATACTAGTCAGACTTGGAATTTGCACCAATCAAAATAGTCGGACCTGTAGACTCTTTCATTATAATGGCGGTATGAACGACGTAAAACAAGTCCAGCAATTTGATTGGCTGCTGCCACTTTTGGTAGATGAACTATTTCGCTGTGTACAAACGGCTGACACAGACTCGTTCACACAAGATCCCGACTTGAGTCAAGTCTAATAATAACGACAACGGGGCATCCTTTGTATTTCTGTCATAACGAGCACATGATTACATTACTCGACATTACTCCTGACTCGAAGAAGCGTCCTGCCTTGATACCTGTTCCTTAAAGGATCCCTTGGATATGTACTACGGGGGGTGCATTTCGTACGCGATGCGTTTATCATGAGTTTCACCTTTGTGGACACAAAAATCGACCCCCATTAACATAACACGCGCATGCCTTGCATTCGCCGTCGAAATCGCCCCAGGGGAGATTTGGACGGATATGCAAGCGTTGACGCGCATATGGGAAGGCATTTAATGCGATAAGAGGCAATTCCCCACTCTTAGATTGTATCAGAGGCGTGTCCAGCTTTTGGTGTCGGGGGAGGGGACGAATCCAAAAGCGAATGCGTCGGGCTCATTCAACATGATGCTGTGGAGAAAAAAAAAACCCAAAACCACAACAACAACAAAGCTTTACAGTCCCAACATGCTTGCTTTTATTTGCTGGTGTTGTTTTCTTAGGGACTAGACTGTACGATTGCTTTACTTAATACTTGGCGTGAAAGTGGATCATTTGTTAATTTTTTTCAGAGCTTCTAAAAATAGCACAAAAACTGTATGCTTCAAGCGTTTTTGCGATTTGCACATCCGCTACCAACACAACGGTTGTCGGTGTGTTTTGATTGGATTTCAGTTTGTGATTCCAGTAATGATAAAGGGCGGCCTCTATCGGCGCCATTCGCTCGTCGTGATTCGATGTGTCCTAAGTTTCCTGGTGTAAGGTAAGACTTGGTTCCCTATGGATTGATTGACGTAGTGATGAATTCGGCCGTGCTCGAACCAGAACGGTTGCGACTGGAGCTGACTGTTGGCTTCTGTTGGTGCACATGAATATTTCCAGCCGTAGCCATAGCTCCTGGGCACAACTCTTACTTCTCTACAATGATTCCAGATTTCATGGTGTACTTTGAAACGATTCCAGACTTTGAAACGTCAGCGAACAGTCCATACCAAGGGTTCAGGCACAAAGACTTCAGATGACATGTACATCGTGGTTGCAAGGAGATTTCTAATCGCAGAAGGCACGTGCGTAGTTTTATATGTCCGTGATCCATGTTGTAATAATAATAGCTCTGCAAAATGTCTGAGGAACCAGAGCAAAATCAAGTTACACTAGAAATCACCGATGCTGAGAATCAAAATGCAGAGAACAACGATGCTCCAGTACCACCAGCTAATAACAATGACGAACCATCCGAAAATACGTCTTCTCCGAGCAAATGTGAAAGCCAGAAGCCCATATCGCCAAAGAAACTCCCGCGGATCGTCAAGGTTGGCCTGTTCCTCCTAGGCTTGTATCCGGTGGCAAAATGCCCCAAATGCTGTCGCAGTGAAGGTAAGATAAATTCTATACATTTATTTTACTTCACTGGACAGGTTGTCGATGGACCAAAAATTTAGAATGGCGGAAGGGGGAATAAAGTCAACTTTGCTTTTATCTCATCTTGAGAGCTGTTCATTAAGTCGGTCTCCACGCTGTGCGGATTTTATTCTTTTGGTCACTACAGCTGATTCAAAATTCATAGAAATATATGAATCTACAAGTCTAGCATTAATTCAACGTAACAAATGGTTTCTTATGCTAAATTCACCACGAGAATAAACAAGAAATTGTTTCAACAACCGTCGGAAATCAGGTCCAAACGTGGTAACCATGAGGTAACATGACTCTCTGTAGACTGCTTTTTCATTCGAACCCCCTGACTTATGAATCTCAAACCTTAACCATCATCCAAGTTCTTTAATTAATTATGTGATGTGATAGCAACATTTCCTTGATAAAAAATACTGCGTGCATTGCCTATACGGCATGTACAGGTGCAGGATGTAGGCCTACTAAAGTGTGACCAAGAGGTGCCTACGAAGCCATGGTGCTGTCACACGTACTCGTTGATTTTAAGATTGACACTTTCTCCTCTCTTTGTTCAGGAGCAAGCGAGGATGGAAAAAATGGTCAGGAAGAGGATTTTTGGTCAGGTACGACAGCGACCCCAAACGCTCCTTTTATCATATTTTATTCCTGGGAATGATAGCCACACTTGAGAGTGTCTAAGCACACGTCTCTCTTGGAATCGGTGCTGTATTTGCCAAAGCTAAATACTCTGTGCTATTAGTTTGTATTTTGTCTTCTTTTTTATTTTGCTGTCTGTTCCACATTTACTTCCTATCCACGTGAACATTTTTGCAATTTCTCTGCAGTGCGGGTGTTAAATGCAAACCCCGAAAGGGTGTCATATCAGATTTTTTTGCGGGCCATAGACAGGGCTGGATAGGTTTTATCAAGGATGTTCCAGAGTGTGGACTGTGTGGCTGTACAAAGTTCATTGCATTTAAGATCCTTGTGGGAGTTTCATTTCTCAGGGGAACGTCATACATTTCAAATCTCCATTCTCATGAGTCTCTTTTGGACGCTTCGTTTGCCTTATCCTATCGAATTTGTTCTTCCAATGTGACATTTAATTCTAGTCCTATTTCAAGCATTAATTGTTATTTTGAATTTAGTTTTGTTTATTGTATTATATTTCTTAATACGCAAATCTACGATCACTTATGAACCAGATCTTCCCTTTAAAATTCACCATCTTTGTCGTCATAGTCGTCGTTATCAACTTGTCGATATCAACATTTTGATACATTTAATTTCATTTCTCGTTGACAGAGTATGGATGCTGCAAGAAAATGTGGGCCTTTTCACCAGTATTCGTTTTGGCTGGGGTTGTAATTTTACATGTCCTAGATTTCTTTGTGATAATCGTCATGTTCATGGACAAAGAGGAGAACGCAGTCTTCGTTTTGTGGTACTTCACATATCTGCTTCACCTGACCACCACTCTTACATTCTGTCTATCCAGATGGCTGTATCTGTCTTTGTGTTACGATCAACATAGAAACCGCTTGTCAGTTTGGTCGAAGAAATACTTGAAGATGCATGCAGGTTACGGTCCTCATCGGCCGATTCTATATTTCTTTCTTTTCATGACTTTACCTATTGCCTGCATTCTTTTGAAAGTCGTAACGTTTGCCTTCGAATCTGGCCAAACCAATTGCCACAATGATGCTTTCTCTGTGCTCAGATTTATTGGGGGCGTGTTCGGATATTTCTACTATGGAGTCTTCTGCTTCGTGATCTCGTTCTTCAGAATCGCACATCGTAAGAAGTTTTACGAAATTGCTAAAAAAATCAGTGAACGTGGAAAGGGCAACATCGAAGACACAAAACACGACATCAAAGAGCTGTCCCTGGGGTTTCTCAGCTTTCGTGACTTTGTTGGGGCGTGGATGATGATATCCCTATCTTTGGGCGTCTTTGGGCTTGCCTCCATGGTTCCGTTTACTCTTTACACCTTGCCGACGATAAGAAATCCTAAGAACTCTCTAGTTCAGGTCATGCACTTAGAGATTTGGACAGCCTTTACGTGGCTTGACAAGATTCTTTTTATACTGTGGCCAACAGTGGCAGTTGCGGGTTTGGATGCGGGGTACTCTTGGCGATATTTTAAAGAAATGATCTTAATGAAGTGGCATGCTAAGTACGATAGCAGCGTTGAAAATGAAGAAGAAAAGTCACAACGCAGTAAGACGCTGGAAGACATCTTGGTTCATATTCAGCAGCTTAGCGATGGATGGGCCTGGGCCGCATCTACCTTGATCCTCTCTGTTGTCAGTGTGTACGTGACCATTCAGTTGTTTCCTAAGCAGGATGTCGACCCATGGATCAGCGTAGAATGTGACTCAGATACATCCTCAAATTACACAGTCAACAGGTTTATATTTTCAAGATTCTTGTAAATCGTTCAAGCGCACCACTCTCCCAAGGAAGACCAGAGCTTTCTGACGAGAGACGTTGAGTTAAGACAAGTAATTCTTCCCCAAAACGCGCCGCCCATTTTAGAATCGGTCACATCGGTGTATTCGCAAACATTTCTATGGCATCAAAAAGTCTCGTATCGTGTTTAGATTAATTCTTGATTCGCGATATGTACCAGGTCCGACTGGGAAATGCGTTCTATTTACGCGGGATCTCGATCCTTGAGTAAGGCCATGCATTAGCACATATTCTTCGTTAAACTATCCTATTAAAATTGTATTTTGTAAACTTCTTATTAAGGCGATAATTTACCATATTTTACCTCGATATTTAGTACACTTTTCAAGTTTCCATTGAAATTGGATCTTGGTTCAGGTGCTGTTGATCTTCAATAATTTGGAGACTTGATCTCGGCTTCCATTGACATGGTTAAACCAAAGTTCTCTGTTACAATGCAATTTTCAAAACCAGGATTACACATGAAAATGATGCAAACTTGAGGGGGTTATTTTCGATTTCGCTTTCACTCGAGACTTATACACCATACTTAGCAGACTCAGAAAACATGATGCTTGGAGCATAAGCACCACATTAGTAGTTAAGTTACTGATGCGCACGATTGTGGGTTTTGGAAATTCCAGATGTCTATTTTTGTCTTTTCGCTGAATCACGCCCTCTTGTGTACTTTGATTTGTTTAATTTCTTCTTGATAGCACACATTAACCCAGCTATAGATTCATTCTCGAAATGATCTTTAAAGTGCTCAATGTACACGGCAAAACAACCATCGTAAAAACATATTTCACGCGCTAGTGATATTCTTAGGAGCAGCTTAATGTAGAGGAATTCATGTTTCACGTGCTTAAATGAGCATTTATTATTAATGTTTTTAAAAAGTAACTTGTAATCACTAGAATTTCGTTAGAAACGTGGTTTCTGTTACTTTATGAGCTTTCAAGATTCTTTTCACTTTTGTTTTCTTTATTTTCATAATCAAATTTTCTATTTTTATTTCAAATTATTGGTTGGTCAACAATGTGTGTGCATTGGTCATTCAGATATCTATTGTTGGTATAATGAATGTGATCGTAGGTTGATGGATATGACAATTATGTTTACAGTTTGTCACGATTGGGCAATTTTTTTTCGTTTTTGGTTTTAGATCAGTTTGGTTTATTGTTATCGCAGTCCTCTTGTAGACAGTCTGATGCTATGAATGTATATAGGCTTGTTTCTATAATTTGTTTGAAAAATCTCCGGTTCACCATTAACTTTCTTCTGTTAAATTGATTCTGATTGCATGGATTAAACTACAGAAATCGAATTTAAAATGTGTATCTTTTACTTGTGTTGTAATTTGAAGGCAGACTCTACAACTAATTAAATTTGTATGCAAATTAATAATGCTTGCTAAATGTGATAAAAGTGCATGTGTATTGTACATGTACCAAAAGTTTACCAAAATAATGTTTGCTGCTTTCCTACTTATCAGTAATTTCCATTTTGTATTGCATTTTCTTCAAATGTTTTATATTGAAGGGAATTGTAATTTTAAATAAACTTCAACGTGCTACGGCATGCATTGGATTGAGGTTTTACATTTCAACGGATATTAGACTCTTTACTTCTTTAAAGCATGGGTGGATTTCAGAACTAGGCCTATTTGATGATTTACAGGGGAGACCAATACTAAACCAAACCCTTGGATAATGTCACTCTTTGATTATGACGGGATGGAAAGTATAAGGCTTAACACAATGACGTCGTGCATTCCGCCTCGAGGCTACAGTATAGTGGGCTTCAAGTTTGATGGAATTTTCAATGTAGCCTTAGCACATGCCAACAAGATCAAAGACACACATCACTATCCACTTGAAAATAAAAAAATCAGTAGGAATGTGTTAACAGTAAACATTAATCCACAAGATACGGTCCATTAATTTGCTTTTGTTGAGCAACATGCACAAGGGCAGGGTGACAACGGAATGAGGATTTTGTGGGAAGAAGCTTTATGCTTCCACTGTGATGAAAGGCGCCCTCTATTCCGCCAGTTGTCTGTCTGTTTTCCAATAATACGCGAAAATAGGAATAGTCCATTCAAGTTGCTGAGGTAATTTATTTTGTAAAAGCTGAAATGTGCACCCCATTACGCAGATTATATCGATTTTTTTCTAATTTACAATGCAAAGTTCAACGAAGTTCTGAAAAGAATGAGGGTGTAGGTGACTTTTCAGTTTTAGTGAAATACAACTCAGTATTATTGCCGCAACACGAACGCATCTAAAATAAACGTTTATTTTGTCATGATTTTTTAAGTTCACACGAGACAAACGTCTCAGTCAAACCGTTTAACTGTAACTTAAATGATCACCTGATTTTTCCCAAAAGGAAAAAAAGTAAATCTAAAAATACGCTGAATTATAAATGAACAAATAATCCTAGAGACGAGACAAGAAATGTAAAGTCATCATTATTAATTCATTCTAAAAGAAAACACCTTTTAGTGGGAAGGATTCTGGGGGATTCATGTAATCATGTAAATAAATACTGCTATGTATGACATCAAGTTGACTTGAAGGTAGATGACTTCAAGATAACAATCACACCTAAAGTGACAAAGTAATTCTAGAAACTTCTCCTCGATCAGTTTAATGAATGAAGTTCTCCGCAATAGTACATGTTAAAACCATAAGTGCTAGGCTAGTGCTCGTGACTATATGTGGAAAGAGTGGAAGCCAGCATTTTTAAAATAAAGCCAGACATTTAATTCTACAAATTAAATATTTATCTAGAACTTGCCGAACAGCATTTGGAAAGTCGACTTTATTTATAAATATCTGTTCATCCAACAGTGCATGTCGCTTCAAATACAGAATGATGATGGGTGAAGAAGACAATGATAAAATGTGTCATTTTAGAGGCGGGAGGAAAGCCTCGAATAAATGTTTCGGGAAGACCACGGACTCAGATAAGGACTGAAACCTAATAATAAATCCACATGTGTACCGAGCGGGATTCGAATCCGGGCCCCAGAGGTGGAAGGCGAATGAAGAGCCATTACCCCAACCTGACTCCCCACGTCAGTTCTTAGCGTATAAAACTACAAAGGCATAGTTTATGTAGGCCTCTGTATCCCCGTCCACAGAAATTTATTCATCCTGTATTCATCGTTCAACAGACACCGAAATTAGTAAAGAATTTATTATTCAAAATTTTTGTTAAATTTGTTCTGGGTTTACAAATTGAAGGGTCTACATCTTTGCATCGTGCATCAATGAATAAAGACGATTTACTGATTCTACATGTTTACCGTAATTAGACAAATTACAAGCAACCCTTGGGTAGACTACCTCTTTCAGGAGGAAGTTAATTCACCCGAAGCACTCAGCTCTGTTTCCAAGAGACTTTACCTTCACAGAATTTTTGCAGTCAACTTAAAGTTTCCTCTTCGATATTCCTGACAGGAATATAAAAAAATACCTCAAAACGTAACTGAATTGAGAGTTAAAAAATGGATGTGTATATAGAGTAAAATGCAAGGGATTGATCCAGCCGAGGTCCATTTCAAAGAGTTTTTCGGGGGAGCACCTCCGGGGATGGGGGCCAGGAGAAAAGCAGTAATCAGGAACGAAATGATAAATCGTTTACAGTGGAAGGAGTCAACAGGAGTTTTCCCGAGCAAAGTGGTGATTTTTATCTCTTTTCATCCTCCTTCATTGTCGTTCTGCCTTCAACAACAGTAAAACAGATCAGGTTTCATTCAGGGAGATTTTAACATGACACACATTCCATCACTTTTGAACTTCAGAAAGTCAGGTTTGCACAGATCACGCAGTTGTGAACCTCTGTAGCCTGGGTTTGAATCCCACGTGATCCGACGTGTGGGTTGGGTCGTTAGTCCTCACCTGAAACTGTTCCCGTAACGTTTGTCTGGAGTTTTCCCGCCCACCTCTAAATCTGGAACGAGTAGTGTCAAATAGTGCTTTACCCTTGTTAAATGAAGAATCAATAAGTGAGTCATTAATCGATTTCAGAAAGTAAACACACGTGCCTATAAAAAGGCCATGGTCCAGACGTTTCAGCAGACAAACACGTGACCTACAAAAGGCAGAATGCAAACTGATGAAAGATCTCCCCTGTTGGGTAAGGGCCAGCCTGACAATGAAGGGTACCAAAGCACCCAACCTAGCAACGGACGAGGCGATAGAGAAGGCGGTGGACAAGGC